CGGACGACAACCACCAACCTGATAGGAACGTTAAGTGCGTGGTCATCCAGTTCAACCAACATTTAGACCCCTTATACAGGGAGATTGCTAGCCGCAACCGCATGAAGATCGGGTACATGAGAACCGGCACTGTGTATGATCTACTGCGCAATGCCAAGGACGCGATGGATCTCAGCAGGGCCCCAGGTGTATACTCCATTCCCATCAGGGAAGACAGATTTCATAGGGAGTTGGTTTACATTGGCTCCACCATCCGCTCGACACAAAAACGGATACGAGAACATCAAGCAGATATTAAAAATAACAGGCACACCACCGTCTTATCAACCTACGTTACCGACCCTGATATAAGGGCGGACTTCCAGAACACCAGACTAATCAGACAAGCGTTCTGAACTGATCACATCCAATACCTGGAGGCTTGGGAGATTCATAAAGCTAATAGTGGGTGCACCTGCATCAACTTCAGAGATGGTTAAATGATCATGCAGGCATAGAGGTATTTGTTCGAGGAATTTGAACAGAAACAGTCGGAGGGGTGAAACCCGACACGCACAATTATTTACATCTCTGGTGACATCGTTACAACGGTCAGGAGGAAACACAGTCATTCACCACCTAAAGCAGAGTGTAGCTCGGTGGAGGTCGAAAGCGTTTGTGGAGTGTACCACGGACATAACACTTGTAAAAAAAGGTTTTCGTGGATTGTTATATTCAACACAGTGTTGAGTTGTTGGAAGTCGTTTGTTGTAGATAGTATTTAATTTGTAAGCAAAAACCAGGGAAAACTTGAGAGGGCACTGTATTCAGTTGGTGCCAAAATCTACAAAGAAAGTATGAGGATAGAGCTAAGTCTCTTTATATCATTTAAAGAAAAAGGAAGTAAAGTTTGTTATAATAATAGGACTAAAGGTGTTTTTATTTGTAGAAAACAAGGGAAAACATTAACAATTTTTCTTTCCTCAAAAAAGTTTACACAATTGTACATTTAGGAAAACCTGGCTCAAGTGAATGAATTCAAAACTTGGTTAACTTGTGATGATATTTGTTTGGCTCATTGCATCGTTTGTTAAACATCATTTAGTGTTAAATATGGTGGAATTAAAGCATGTAAGAAGCATGCCAATTGCCATCTCCCCTAGTCATTGCATTGCAGACTCTAAGTCTTTGAAATTTTGTCGAATTCCAAAGGGGAATAGAGTTAAGTTAGAAAATAGATTGATTTGAGTTTTGTCGGGTTGATTCTTATTGATTTACATTGAATAAATTGTTATTTGATTTTTACTAAATTTTGTATATAGTTATTACTAGAATTTTTATTAAATATTGGATTGTTTTTGATTAACTTTGTCATTATTTAATTTGGTGCATGCTTAAAGTCCATTCCTGGCACATAAACGCAAATCCGAGTAAAGTATCCGTTAGGTAATGGCTATTTCCGGCACACAGTTGTGTCGATAATCGTTGTAGAGGGCGGAAAAATAATATAGTACTTTACAGAAGAAAATCATAAGAAAGACTTCATTTAATGGCCTCATTAAGCTGTGGATAAGATTGAATGTTGTCCCAACAAATAACATTTGTTGTGTTTGATGATTGTTATGGATTTGGAAAGATGAAAGGCATTTGATCTTTTTTCATGTTGTTTTTCGTTTCTATTTAATAGTTAGTCAATGAGACAATGTTGGCATTGATCTTGTACATGAAGTTTCAGTTGTTGAAACAATTCTCCAAATGAATTATGTTGTTAAGTAAGGCTATCTCTATCTCTTAGCAAATCTTATCGCTTTCCTCAGGTACAAGTTCCTGCAATAAAGAACATTCAAATCGTAAGCATATCCTGTAAATGGAAGTAGGGAATAATCCAAGAGAAAAGCAATGGAGGAGACACTTCAGTTTTGAAAATGTTTTGCATAACTTCACGATAATTTTTCTATAAGACTTGATAAAATCATCTACAGGGGATCTCTTACCACTTTTTTTGAACGTAAAAAATGATAAAGATCCAAAAGAGAGGAGCTGCTTGCTTGGCCATTTACAATATCCCTGTACAAGATCACAGGGTGAAACCATCCATGCAACGTATATTGGGCCATGGCTAGATGCCTGAACATGAGAATTAAGGAATATCAATATATAATTTGAAGGGACTTTCCAGAATGGTGCTGGCTAGTTTTGCTGCTGATAATGACATTCAACTTTAATTTGTTAAGGCATGTATCTTACATCACTCTTATGACCCAGCCTGTCTCAAATATCTTGAACAGATTGAAATATTCAAGGCCTTCAAAAAGAGTATGGCAATTAATTATAATCTAAGATATTTGTTGTCATGCAGTCAAAATGTATATTCATATTTCAACTGTGTAGCAAGCATTATATGAGAGTCTAGTACTAGTATACATATGGTTTATTTATTATATATTGTAACATATAGTTTAATTTGTTGTGTGTTGTAATATGTTCATTGAAACAAGATATTAATGCTGCACTGTGCATGCATGAATTTCACAAAAATTTCAATTTTTAAATTTGTAGTAGTGTTCTATTTTTAGAATACACACTTATTTTTATCTGTTTTTCTTCTAAGCTGAAGATGACCACTTAAAATGGAAGAAAATGTTTGTTTTGTTTAAATACATACTTTATATGCTGGATTTTTTATGTTTACATTTATTTATTACTAAATTACCAGTATTGACATAGAGATTGTACAATTATCTGGCTAGTGAAATGTGGGATGGTTAATAGAGTTGTATTTCATTATTAACGACTCTCATATGAAAACTTGCTTTAGATTAGAGTTATCATTTGTATAATTGCTATACAGTGACAAAAATGCAGTAGGTATGATGCTAACACAGTTTACATGGATTGTGCACTTACTAACGGAGAAGATGACAAGGACAATGTCTTAGTTACCCTCTGTTATTGTGGGCATAATAATTGTATCAAAATATCAAAGAATAACAATTTCAAAAACTTTAGACAAAAACAGTATTTTTATTAATCTGTAATTATTCATCAGTTGATATTTATTCACTGTAGCTGAGTGTATTTGACAAGCCCTAGTTGTAACTAAATTTTTATTTCCAATGTTTAAAGTTACCAATGTTGTTATATATTAAAGCTAAATGATTATCAAATTATATCAAGCTATATTACTATTACTATTGTTAATTTTAAATGCTAAGTAATTTGTCACTAGAGGCAGGCATTAGAAAAGAATCGTGTGGTCTTGTCGTCACTTACACTAACTGGACCTTCATTCAGTCCGCATTGTCAGAACTTATTAATTTAGATATAATCATACTCTAATGTATCTAAATAAATTCTGAAAGCAAAGATCAGATGAAGGTTCAGGTAGTGTAAGTGGCAATGAGACTGCATGGTAAGTGGGAATTGTGTGTTTGAGTCCCAGTTCAGGTCAATTCTTCTTTTCCACAACCTTTTAAATTAATTATTAAAATATTAATTTAATTATAATTATTAAATTTAGCAAGAGATGGTGCCTAATGCCTACCTCTAGTGCCAAATTACTTAGCATTTTATTAATAATAAAAATAGGGATATAATCTGATATAATTTGGCAATCATTTGTCCTTAATATTATTTTCCTTTAAATGCTCTAAGTTTATTTGAATAATGAAAACTTTCATCTGAAACATTTTCTAAATGAAACTCACACCTTAAAATTCTAGCATTGCAACTGTTTTGTTTACAGTGAATGTTTTTGATTATCTTGAAATGCTGAAGGCATAGGGAATAACCTGATGATCTTTCAAGGTAACCAGAAATGTTAGTTGCAAATAAACTGTTTTGTGATGCTGGAATGTTAAGGTGTGAGTATCATTAATACTTCATTCAGTTTTACTGCACTTTTAACATTTTCTTGCTCATAGAAGCAGTTTTGTATAATTTTGAATATATTAAAAAATATCATAATTTGAATCTATCCTCATATAAATTTTTTCAACATCATTATGAGTAAAATATAGTTCAGATATTGTATTAAACTCATATCTGTCTTGTCAGTAACAACTCTGAAATTGTTGGCAATTTAACCAATTGAATAATTGTCAATACAAAAATAAGGTAGTTTTTTTTATACATCAGGCAGGCTTTTAAAACTTTGTTTTATAAACTTTGTTAAATATGGATATTTTAAAATTGAAAAAAAATTACAGTGGTGCCTTGACTTAAGAGTTTAATTCATTCTGTGATGGAACTTGTAACTCGAATTACTTGTATATCAAATCAGTTTTCCCCATTGAAATGAATTTAAATGCCATTAATCTATTCCAGACTCACAAAACACTGCAACTTTTTTGTACATGTTTTTAAATAAGAAAAATGTACTTATAAGTAACGAATATTGTATAAAAAATACAATAGAATGTACTGCAATAAACTAGTTTGCGGAAGTTGCTGAATAGATAAAGAAAGAAAAGATGTAAAAATTGAGAAATGAGGGATGGTGGTGCACACACAACATGGGAGTGAACTAATGCGTATATCATTCGATCACATGTTTTTCTATAAGCTAGCCTGTCATACATTGGAAGAGTAATGAAAATGATGAAATTATGGCAGTTTTCCATCTTCTTTTTCTTAAGCTATGGTTTGCTGTGGTGTTCACTGCACCACAGCAAACCATAGCTTAAGAAAAAGAAGATCCAACTAGAGATGAAGTATCTGAAGCTGGCTCATAACCTGAATTTTAGCTCTCAACTCAAAGCAAAAAATCAGCCGAGAGACTGCATGTATTGAAAAACTTGTAAGTTGGGACACTCATAAGTTAAAGTACCACTGTATTTTTAACATTTCTCAGAGAAATTCATATTATAGAAATTGTAGAATAGATATTAAGTTTGATTGCAATTAAATAATTCAGTTATCTCATTATAATTAATAATTTTCAATAAAGATTTTATATTTAGATTAATCAAATTATAAAATTATTTTATGTAAATTTTAATGTGATTTGTATTTCTTTACAGATATGGAAAGTGGCATAGAGCTTCAAAATGCTGAGACCATTGCTGTTGTCAATGATGGCGATGGCTTGGTTAAAATGGAATCCGAACAATCTAATGTGGAGTTGGCAAAAGAATTGCACAATGAACAAGAAAACAAATGTTCCTGTGAAAATAAAAATTGTGAAATTCGTAATTCTAACTCTAACCATGAAAATGATAAATTATATCCATCATCTAGTAAAGAATCACATCAGTGCAATTATTGTGGTGGATACTTTGAATGTATATTTGCATATCGTAGACATCATCTAAAATGTTGGCGAGCATTTTGTCGAAAAGCAACTTTGAGCCAGAATAGTACAGAAAGTAATAAACCTTTTGAAAAGAAAGATTTTTCAGTGAACAACACAAATATTAATTCCAGAAAAAGCTGTAATATATGTGGCTTGAAATTTAGGTCTCGATTACAATATGCGATGCATGTTCGTAGGAAAAAGTTCTGTCGTCCGCCGCCATTTATCTGTGGGAAATGTGGAAGAGTTTTTAAGCATCTTCATCTTTTAATTAGTCATGAAAAACGCAAAATACCTTGCACTCTTATGGGAACAAAAAGCGGAGAATCCACAAGTCAAAAGAACACTGCTTCTCCAGTTGAATTAGAAGACCAAAGTGCTGTTAAGAAAAATGATGATATAGTTAACTGTGAGATATGTGGCATGCAGTTTGCATCTTTTCAGTGGTATGAAAAGCACATTTCACAAACAAACTGTTTCAGACTCAGAGATGGTAAAATGCCAAATATCTCTCAGAAAAAATTTAAAACTCCATATCTAGAAAAATTTAGAACTGTTCGTGGTTATAAGTGCAAAAGATGTGGTCATCTTTTTCGCTATCCATATCGTTTGAGAGATCATCTTATGCGTAAAGTACCGTGCATACCTAGAAGTGCTAGAAAAACCATGCCTCCAGTAAAATCTCTATCAAGTGAAAGTCAAAAAGATGAAACTAATGTAATTGACAATATTGTAGAAGAAAAATGTCCAAATATCGAAAATACAAATGCTAATGTAGGTAGAAAAATTATTAGAAAATATTGGAAAATTGCAAATACACACTCAAAACAAAGAAAACGGCAAGTGGATGTTATGAATAAATATGGAACTTTAATATGTTGTATTTGTAACAAAAAATTTTTTAATTCATATACATGGAACAATCATCTACGTATACATTCCACTGCAGGAGAAAAGTGTTTCGTTAAATGTCCTGTTTGTCAGACCGTTTTTCGTTCTGCATATATGCTCTACTGCCATCAGAAGAAAACCAACCATTGGGGAAAATTGATGAAGAGTCGTATAAATTACTGCCAGTGTCCGTTTTGTGGAAAGAAATTTTCATATGTTGGATCAAGAAAAAATCATGTACAACTTCACATGCAGGATTATCCATCAGCTGTAAAAGAATTTTTGGAAAATACAACATGTTCAAGTTGCAATATTCACTTTGTTTCGGAAGCTAAAAAATTAGCTCACATGAGGAAAGTCCACTTAACAGAATCTGATATAAAAACAGAAAATGTTGAAAATTGCACTAAAGGAAAGCAAAAAATTAAACAAGAATTTCCACCTCAATCTTCTCAAGTACGAAATTTTAGTAGTACAAATATTAATGTTGCTGTTTCCAATAAGAAAAATGTATTAGGTGAAGATAAAGCATCGGAATTGCATTCATGTACTTTTTGTTTTAAAAAATTCTCACGCTTAAGTTTTTTGATTCGTCATCATCAAGAAACCCACAATGAATGCTTAACTTTTCAGTGTGGTGCTTGTAATCAAAAATTCTCAAATAAATCCATGATTTCCCAACATATCAAAAGAAAACACAGAGCTATTCCAAAAAGTAATCTGATTATTAAAATTGATAAAGCATCAAATTCAGAAATAGAACCAAAACTTGAGGATGAAGATGAAGAGGAGGAGGATGAAAATGAAACAAAGGATGAACAAACTTTGCATTTTCAGTCACAGAATATAGATGATTTAAATAACTCGAAAAGAGGAATATATTCTTGTGAATTATGTAACCTAAATCATTTCAGAAAAGTGTCTGCATTAAGACGCCACAAAAAATCAAAACTACATAAAGATAATTTGATGCAAAGTAAACTGGGAGAAAATGCAAAATTAGCTTTTACCCATGACAAGAAGAAAACTCCTAAAATTTTAATTTGTTCTGCTTGTAACCAATCATTTGATTCCTTGAGAAATTTTATCCCTCATCGTTTGAATCATTTTAATTTTCAAAATGCAGATCCAGCAGAAACTGTCACAAATGAGCCATATTATTGTGAAATTTGTTCAAAAGTCATAATTCGCCAGAAAAGAATAGAAACCCATTTATTAGGCCACTTACGTAGACATAAGGTACAGTTAAAAGATACAAGTTGTAGCAATGACAATACCAATAATTTAAAACAATCTTTAACTGAAAAATTTACTGATGTTAAAGATAATTCAAAAACAGAAACTGAACAAAATGTTAATGATTTACAACCAGAAAAGTATGAAGAAGGACAGAGGCGAAAGAAGGTGAACTTTACATGTAAAGTTTGTAAACGAAGTTTCAGAACAAAACGTCTTCACACATTTCATGTTCGTTATCGCTGTAGATTTCAATTAACATGCGAACATTGTAAAAAACAATTTCCTTCTAAAAAGAAATACAGACTTCATAAAGAACGTTTAAGATGCAAAGTACCACAACCTAAATTACACTGTCAGTATTGCTCATTAGATTTTTCTTCAGTTAGTGATTTAAAGTGGCATGAGAAAAGTTGCCAGAAAGTCCATGGCACAGAATCTGGAGACTTCAACCTCGATAATATGAATAATTTATTTCATTGTCAGTATTGTCATAGTCCATTTTTAACTTTACAAACATGCCAAGAACATGAGAATTATTGCAAGAAAGAAGCCTTTTGTTCAATTTGTAGATCATATTTTACTTCTTATGAACTTCTTAATAAACATAATAATGAATTTCATACATCAGAGAAGTTATTAACTTGTTTAGTGTGTGGAAAAGTATTTCAAAACATAAAATCACTGAATTCACATATGGAAACTCACAGTAGTGAAGAAATACACAAGTGCAGTAGTCAGACAAATCACAATTCAACTAAATTAAAATCAGAGGACATACTGTCATGTCATCATTGCAATACAAGTTTTCAAGAGCAGCATGACTTGAAAGAACACCTAGTCATTCATAATCCTTTTACATGTCCTGTTTGTGGGAAAGTTGAAAACAATGTTCACGGATTTAGAAAGCATCCCTGTCGCCTTCCAAATGGAACATTAGCAACTGGACTTGTTTTTAAAAGAAAACAAACAAAGCTAAATTATATTCAAAATGACAAAGAATTAATTCCTAATGTTGAACTTGAAACCAAAAATAATTGTTCAGAATTAAGTAATAATGCAGTAGCATTATCAGAGGAAACTTCAGAATTGGATAAAGTTAACAGAAATCATGAAGAGGGCAGCACAGAGAATAATGACGAATTCAGGGAAAAAATGCCTTTGGATATTCTCCGCGATAACTTTTCTCAGTTACTATATTTATTTGTTGCCGATCCAGAATTAATGTCTCAATTTGGATGGGGCCAAAGGTTAATTGATGATGTCTTGGACGATGTGCTTCAGAACATGGGGCAGAATTCCATTGATCGAGACTCCTCTCTCTCTGAACTGGAGCGCCTTCGCGAAAACATCAGAGTTCTCTTGAGAATATGTATCAAAGATCAAGTGATGGATGCTGTAGATAGTAACAATAAATCCATAGATGAAATTGTAATAGACATGCTTGGAATGTGTCAGGCCAGCTTGGAAGGTCAGACGACCATATCGGACAATACTTCTTGAGTGAAACTACTGCCATTAAATTTGTTTAAAATGTATTTGGTAAATGATAAAAAGAAAAAAAATGAAAAAAAATTGCTAAGGTACAAAATGTATAATTGTCCTATCAATTGATAATTACTATTTCATCATAAAAGGGCATTTTGTATTACCCATTCTTAGTAAGTATTGTATTTTATTAATATTTTACACTTTTAGTCTTTGAGTAGTTACATGTAGATTGAATTTAAATGTATATTCTTATATTATTTAGTAATGTTTTGCACTGGTAAGTTTCCCAAAAAATTACACTAAGTCTTTTGAAATGTTAAGCTCTCTCAGAAACTGTCAAATGCAAAGATCGAGATGATAAACCCCATTCATTTTTTGTATGTAACATTTATACACTGAGCTATTGCAAAATAATTTCTGGTTATGACAAACATTATGTAATATACTGTTAATGAATTTTAAACAGTAAATTTATGTAAAACTGATAGAGGGTCAATATTTTTAATCTAGTTTAGTTTGAAAATAAAAGACAAATGTGTTAGTTTTTTGCAATTACCTGTTCATATAAAAACATTTGTGAAAGTTGAAAAACATTTTAATATAAATATCATTGCACAGCTTGAGAAAATATGGGATTAAAAATATTTTAAAAATTAATGTGTAGTCTAATTATTATTATTTGAATGTCATTAAATTCATGAAGTATAAATTGATTTAAATTAATTATTTGTTTCTTTATGCTTTGTTGGTTAATGTTTTTACATAATTATCTCGAATCAGAAGCAATTTTGCTGTGCTTTTTAAGTAAGCTAATTAATTATTAAAGCTAGATTCAATGTAGTTTTTATTTGAATGTCAAAATTAATATTAATTTTATACCAAATTTCATAATTTAATCCTGTATATATGTATGTAGATGAATCTTCAAACTTATTTTTCAAATACCAGTTTGTTCCATGGTATTTTAGTAATCATGAAAGTATATGATTATGATCATTAAAATGTATTTGGCTACTGCATTAAATATACTGTGTTTGTTATATATCAGAATTTAATTCAGTAATGTGCGTAACATTTATAGTTATTTGGCTATGTTTGTGGTGAAATAAACATAGTGTAATGGCTGATTATTTTAGGAAGAAAATGCATATTATTTTATAAGAGAGATATTTCAATATCATAAAATACAGAAAACAGATGCCATATTTATTCTAATAAACAGTGCAGTGCAGCTGCAAGATGAAAATTTATAGTCTCCTCTAATAGTAAGTGTGCCTTTTATCAGAATATGATAAGGCTAATTGCAAAATGAAAAACTGCACATTCTATTCAGCATTGTAATTGCTACTGAAATTTTGATTGATGTGTCAAAATCTATTTTTTACCATATGTTGAAATGAACTTTGAGTGTTTTGACATTGCACTGTTTAAATAATAATAATAGTGGAAAATGTTACCTGATTTATTCCATTAATAGTTATACCTAATTCTGGACAATAGAAATAATAGTTACTGTTGAATAACAGTTGTGTGCAATTGAACAAAGAATAGAATATTAATTAAAGGAATACAAATTTACAAGATTACTATGTACATTTTTTAGAATAAATGCTAATTACCATAACGTATTATAGAGTTGTGTTATTTATCCAGTACACTGAAGGTAATTTTGATATTGCAAAATAGTATTTAAGGGAAAAACTTTGATGATACAATAATAGTTACAACTGTTATTCTAATAAATCAATATAAACCATACAGCTGCAAGATGAAAAAGTTATAGACAGCATGCTATTTATTAGAATAAATGTGGTATATATCAAAGTTTTCAAGAATTGTTAACCTTGGTTATATAACTGTACATAAAATTAGTTGCAGCTTTTACATAAAGTATATAATTTTGATCCTACTTGTATTATATGTTTGATCAAAGCAAATTAAAATTGCTTAATTGACTGAATCAACCTTTAATTCAGTGTGCTGAACATTTTATTGAATGAACATATATTCTTCAATAAAAAACTATACTTTTCAGTTTACATTGGCTGTATTCAGCAGAGTAAACAGTTGTAACTGAGCAAAGGTATTTCAGTCAGTAGTTGTTACATAGTTACATCTGCTGAACAATGAGTGATGTATGCGTTGGAACAGTCATCATTAGTCAGTTACAGCTAGCAATAGGTAACGTGAGTGTAAGATACTACTAAATGTGACATAAAAACACCAAACATGTTCCGAAACAGCACTACTGTAAAGGACATTCAGCAGAAAAATATTCAATGGCTCCAGAACTGTTGAGTTTACGCTATACATATGCAGCTACTTTCCTTTTTCCAGCTTTTATTTTTGACATTTATCTTTGAAATACTTTACTTGATCCATTCTAGTAATAAAACTTAGTAATTAATTGATATAATATTTAAAAGATGTTCTTAAAAAATTAGTTTCGTCAATCAGTATATATACAGTATATGTATTGGTTGATCAATATACAGTAGAGCGTCGATTTTCCGAAAGTCAATCATCCAAAAGAATTCCAGTCGGCAAATTTAAATTTTCGCCAGTGCTGTGGCGCTGCAATCTTTGGCTATGTCTTGGGCTACTCAAATATTTTACGTTTTTGATACTAAATTAACATCTGAAGTATAATTTTTTATTATTTTTATATTTTTCAATATATTTATTTTGTTTGTACAAAATTAAAAAAAATGATTTTTAACGATACAATAGTCTTTGTTAGGCTTAACATAGATGAAAATTCAACGCAAAGCGACATGCAACGGAGAAAAATTTCGACATCGGATACGTTAAACTATTTTTTCATACGTAAATCAGTTATCCGAAATATCAGTTATCCGGACAACCCCAGTCTCCAATTGATTTGGAAAATTGACGCTCTACTGTATATACATAATCAATACTCTTAAGTATACTCTAGTCTGATTATAAGCTACATATCACTAGTTTTCATATATGAAAGATTCTTATAGTATATTTACATACAAGTTTGAAAACCCAAATGCATTATTTTGTAAATATGCATGCAAGGTATAAAACTATATTAAAACTAGTCACAGAACTTCATAATTTTAAATTATAGTATATTTCATCTCTTATCAGACTGTACAAATGTGGTATAAATAAGTTATAACCAATTTACATCTTAATTATTGCTTGAACAACAGTTTACCTACAAAACTATCATTGTTTGTTTATTTCCAAATGTCAACATCTAAAACTTGATAGCTATAAATTAAAGTCAAATGATTGCCAGGTTATATTGGGTTATATTACTACTATTATTAATAATTAAATGCTAAGTAATTTGGCACTAGAGGTAGGTGTTAGGTGCCATCTCTTATTTAATTTAATTATTAATAGTAGTAGTAATCAGACAAATATAATCCAGCAGTTGTTTGGCTTTAAGATAGTTTTATTTCAATTGTTTAAACATTAATATAAAAATGAAGCAAAAGTTATGTAACTTTCCCAGTGAAAAATATATGTTTAAGAAACATATTAGCAAAGTTTAAGAAATTGTGCATAATACCACCTGTTATGAGGTTTTATTTAAAAAGTAATGTTTATATTATTAAGTATAAAATGAAAAGATAAACGGCTTAATTTGAGGATAGAGATGAGTTTTTATTTGGTAAACTAAAGATTTGTTGGAGTATAAAAAGTTTTGTAGCTTTGAAACTTTTTGAGATATTGTCCTTAATATCTGAACCAATGGTCTGATTTTCCTGAAAATTTCTAGAAACATTTCCCCCAATACTCTAACCTCCATACATACAGAAAAATTCCCAAGTATTTTGCATTTCTCAACATTCAAGTTCTCAAGTTCAAAATGTAAAAATCTATAGATTTTGACTGATCACCATACTTTCCCCATTTTATAAAAGCCAGGAAAGTAAAAATGTATTTTAATGTAAATTTTTATTTTCCATAGAGTTTGAAAACTTAATTAATGCTAAAGAAATGGCTTTGTAATGAATTATCAATGACAATTTAGCAAATAAATTATTTTTCAAGCAAATGTTGTAAATTGGTTGAAATTTATTTATATACCAACTCTTCTATTCCAAATACCGGTATTTTGACTAATCTTGTACTCACTCGTTTACCTTTATTGTCTCGACTGAGGCTGAAAACGTTTGTTTTACAAATGGTTAAGAAGTACCAGACAATAAAGGTGACCGAGTGAATACAAAATTTATTTATAAACATTTGTATAGTTTGATGAAGACTAAAACCAAAACACCTCATAACTTAAAGTGAATAAAGTTAAACTTCTACAATGGCTCATGATATATTTTGCTGGATGCATATTTACAAGGGTACATGACAACTAGGCAATGGTCAATTGGGCAATTCACAATGGGCAATGGTTAACTGGGTGGCAGAAACTTAAAAATTTTTGCATGCTTAGCAAGCATACGAGTTGGAAAATATTTTTTTTTTTTTTGTAAATATTGGTAAAATATATATAAATATAAATATGGTTAAGACTTACAAGGTGTGAGTTAAGAGTTATTTCCAACTTAGAAAAAGGAAATGTTTAGGAACAATGTACTCTAGCATCCTTAATTATTGTCAGAATCAGTTAATGAAGCACATCAAAGAAAAGCAGTTCTGGGAAAACAAATACTTTTGAAGAACTTTTATGCTTTTTTGTTTTAATTTATAATGTAATGTATTTTTAATTTTATGTAGGTTTAATTGTTGTCTTTGTTCTTATGTATATTTGTTAATTTTGGAGGTAGATATCAACTATTCTTCAAAACCTCTATTTGTAAAAATAAATAAATAAAGTATGTAATGTATATAAATGTGTTTGTTAATTACAAAATTGCTCTTTTAACTTATTTCTTAAAAAATATTATTTAAATTTACTGGGTAGTAGATCAATAGAAAAAAATGGTGTTTTTTATAGACAAAATATAAAATTTTTTGTTTTCTTTATTGTTCATTTCTTATTTTGTTTCCCAGATGTCTTGCACCCAGTTAGCAATAGCCCAGTTGTGTATTGCTCAGTTGATGGTATCCCTATTTACGAAACCAAACATTTGGATTTACAAATTAATATATACAAATATCACTAGATCTTTTTCTTTCTGGGATTTTTTTAATTAATTATTAATATAATTTGGAATTAAATAGGTAATGCTACTATTTAATAATTTAGGATGTTTAGGAGTGCAATTATATCTGGAATCAGATCTGAAATATTCAGTTCTTGTGTAGGCAGATATATTATCGTCATTGTCAAGATTTTCAATCTTCCATTTCAGGTATATATGTATTTGTGTGTATTTCAGTTTAAATCACTACTACAATCTTTATTTCCAGGTTTATATATAATAATTGCATACACATTTAAAGTTGTAAATTTCAAAATTATCTGTTATAAAAATCAAATTTAGGAGATACGGAGAAATCTATTATAGGAATAAGTATGATTTTTCTGTTTACTTGCTGCAAACCTCAAGATTGAAAAAATTTTATTACATATATATACAGGTAACCCTGTATAACATGGCACTTCTGTAGCACAGGTTCACTCTAACATGGTTCGGGAATTGGGTAAAACCCTCGTACAACATGAAATGTAATAAAGGGTGCGCTCTTTTATACCTCAGTGTAACTCTGTGCGAGCATTCTAATTGTTTTCGTGGCTACTTTGAATGCTCTTTCAACAAATAAATCATTTATGGTTAAATTTTACAACTGGGACCCTTCTTTCGCCTCTAAAAGCTCATTTTAGAATTATAGATTCCTGCATCATGATACTATCAATAGTGCGGGCGCCGCCACCTTTTTTTCACCGTCATTCCTAAATGCCTACAAACAGCAGCGCACTCCCGTTGCAGAGTGACCACTATTAATGAATGCACCCAAAAACTATTACCAGTTGATGATGCTCATGCTGAGATCATCATATATATTTTACCAGAGGATGAATAATCCTCTGGTAAAATATTTACTTAAATAATAAATAAGTAATATTGTACTTACTAAACCTTTATTGTCCAGTACTTCTTAATAAATAAGTATTTTACCTATGAAAAAAATGAATAATAAATCAGATTTAAATAAGGATTTAACAGCATGTTTTTTAATTTTTGGAACCTAACCACCCCTTTTCGCACTAGTTCTTTGTTTTGTATAACATGGCAATTTTTTGGAACGTAACTCCCATGTTATATGGGGGCTACCTGTACATATATATGTATGCATATACATTATTTTTACCTACATATTTTTGATTTGATACAAATATTGTATGTAATCAATATTTGATTACATGTACTGTATAGTAAGGATGCACCAGTAAGCAAAATGACTGATTACCGATTAATTGGCCATGCATTATCGGCCGATATCGATTAATCAGCTGATTAGTGTTAATAATTTATTGAGTTAATAGTGTGAGATCCTGGAGTTAATTATAATGTGGAAAAAACTCATTTTTCTCCACCTGGTATTTCCATCTTCCTCAGGTCAGGTAAACAAGAGACAATCTAATATCCTTACAAAATCAACAATCTCTTCCTTTGTTTGGGAAAGTTTTTAAAATAAATCTCAACACTTAATTGTTGATGTGTGGAAACTTTGACATTGTTTAAAAAGCTGAAGTGTTTCTGTGTTTAACAGAAACAAAATATATTTCTTTAACCACTGATATTTGGACAGCAACTACAAGCAATTCTCCTTTTTTTAAGTGTAACAGCTGACTCATTGAAGGATGATTTTCAACAGGAAAGAGCTGTTGTGAGAATTTTTCCCTTTGAAGTTCCCACACAGCTACACGAATCAGTGAACAGATAAAAATTGTTCTTGAACAGTATAAGTTGACAAGTGATAAGATATTCTTAGTACTGGGAGATTCTGCAGCAAATATGGCAGCTAGAATTGGAATTAGGAATTGCAACTTAGAAGCATTATCATGCTTTATACATATATTGCAGCTGACACTAAATGAATGCATATTTTCTCAACAAGATGTGAAAACTATAATCATAGTTAATAAGAAATATTGTCACACATTTTAATCATTCTGCTGTAGATGTAAGCAAATTGGAAGATTTGCAAGACAAATTAGGTTTGCAGAAACACAAATTAATTCAAGATGTTCCCACTTGCTCGACTTATGCTACCCCGACTTACGCGAATCCGGAGTTACGCAATTTTCAAATCTTGTCGATTCCTCTTTTGTTTGAGCGCCACGCAACTCTTGATTACTCACTCCCCCCACACTATTGTTCAGCTTACATGTTTGGACGTGTCGCGCGGAATCGACACATAGCTACAATTTATTTTGTGTTATTTATTTCTGTATTTGTTATATCTACGGAGACTTGAGAAACTCTATGTGGTGATTTCATGTAATTGTGAACGAATCAAAAGATGAGATAAGATTAATGAGAACATTTGTTAGCTTACATACATCCGACTTGGATTTTACATAAATTTTACCCCGACTTACATGAATTCAACTTATGTGGTTATCGCTTGGTCCCACCTAGCGCATAAGTTTGGGGTATTACTGTCCTACATGTTGAAACAGCAAAAAAGCCCTTGTCATTTATGCTATAGATCAGGGCTTCTTAAACTATGGGTCGCGACCCCATTTGGGGTTGCGAGATTTTAATGGAAAATATTGAAAATAATTTGTGAGGGTTTGAAAATGGCACGCTTTGTGTCATAGGTTTCGTGAGTTGCACTTTGTGTCACTTCTGGTGCAGTAAGACAACGATTCAGCAACACTGTAGTGTGAACTAGGGTAGTTTTGTCTCTTTTCAGTGTATTCAGTTGTCTCTGTTTCATTGTAACACAAGAGTGAACTGTGGTAGTACACCATTATTGTTTTTGCAAATTGAATATATCTTTATTTTATATTTTTTTGGCCGCAAAAAAAAACACAATTATAAATGGGGTCGTGAATAAAAAAGTTTAAGAAGCCCTGCTATAGATAATAGAATTCCTACGTTGAGCCCATATCAATGGTCTCTCATTGAAAAAATTGTTCTAGTTTTAAAACCATTCAAAGAAATTACTGTGGAAGCCAGCAAACGAGAAACCACCTCATCTTCAATAATTCCCACAATAGAGACTCTGAAATTATTCTTATCAAAAGCAAAGAGCAGTAGTTCCTTTAGTGGCATTAATACCACAATAGAAGAACTAGAAAATCCAATAGAAAAAAGATTTTCAGCATATATAGAAAACAAGTCTTTATGCTTGTCATCTTTATTAGATCCAAGATTCAAAATGAAATTTCAAAAAGAGGATATGGTAGAGGAAATAAAAATATGGGCAATTGATAGGTTAAGATGTTGATAACTCAAAATCTCAATAAGAATTAAATTCTGAAGTTTCTACTTCTGGAGATGATCAAGATGGAGGTGAATCACTAAGTTTTTCTGATTTATTTGATGAATTAGCTTCTGGTAAACGAAATAATGAAGAATAGCATGTTTTTAAAGAGAAAGAAAAAATGAAAGAAACAAACAAACGTTTTGATCAAGAATTAGAAAAATATTTACATTTACTCCTTAAAGACATAGTGACCTATTTTTGTGGTGGAGAAGTTCAAAAGAACTTTTTCCTAATTTGAGCAAAATAGCTTTGAAATATTTAAATATATTATATACAGCATATATTGAAAGTGAAAGAATTTCAGCACTGGAAGTAACATTTATGAGCCGGCAAGAAATAAGTTATGCCCTGAAGATGGTGAAATTCTCGTGTTTTTGCATTACAATTTAAGGGTTTTACAGTTTGAATATAAGAGCTTTTACGCACTTGTCCTCTCTCCAGGCACTAACTCAAGAAATCAAATACATAGAAGAAATAGCAGTAGCCCACGGGTGCACCAACCTTATACGTGGATTATGTAGACAATATAGAAATAGCCAGGAAGCACACACCAATCCGACAGAGAAATGGTTAGATAATCAAAAAAATACTGAAAGGATTTCCATCACTTTTAATCCACATTTAAAATTATTATACACTATGATAGCCAAGAGAAGACAAGTCAATATAGCATACACCATTTTCCAAATACTCTGTAATGGAAAAGATCCTCCTAATCCAATCAGACTACCGGGAATATACACCATTCCACTCAGAGACCACAGATTTGACAGAGATATGGTTTATATTGGCTCCACCAAACGTACATTAGGGATAAGGATTAAAGAACATAAGGCGAACATATTACACGACAAATTTACAATGGCTCTCTCCAGTGCCGGCCCGAGGCAAGTTTTAGGATGGAGCAAGATCCTTTTACGACGCCCCCCTTGGTTGCCCCTAATTTATACCCTTTAATTTTCTTTACCACTGAGGTGCCCCCAAGACTTGGCGCCTGGAGCGGCTGCTCCGTTCACCCTATGGTAGGGCCGGCTCTGGCTCTCTCAACATATGCCACCGATCAGGACATTACGGCAGACTTTAACACAGTGCACATTATTATCACTACCAACCACTCTGAACATCTCAAAGTCTTGGTGGCTATGGAAATATTCAGAATAGGATGTAACACCATGTGCATTAATTTTAAAGACGAGATGGCCCTTTCAACAACGTGGCAGATCCTGCTAGATGATAATATTTAAATATTTCAACATCAATAAGATGCGCATGCTCTTTACACTAAACATAACTTGTTTTATTTTAAATCTTCTGGTAAGTTTGACAATGTAATTAAAGAAACTCAAAGATTAAAAATAGAAATTCTAGGCATTAGTGAATTATACTGGCCTGGTTCTGGAGTATGCCAAAATTAACACGGAACGCTTTACTATTTAGGAAACAATGACCAAGACCAATACCACCGAAATGGGGTGGGGATATTTGTTTCTGCAAAACATACACAATGTGTTATCAGCCATTCACTAATATTGGATAGGCTGATGATACTTCAAATACAGGGTCAACTTTTCAAGATTAATATAATACAAGTATACGCCCCAACATTTACCAATAATAATGGAGACAAGCTAGAAGACTTATACAACTCTATCAATAAGATACTTGGCAAACTAAAAAAGAATGATATCACCGTGATTATTGGTGATTACAATGCTAAAGTTGGCATGGGAAGACGGGAAGATCTGATAGGAGACTTTGGGTTGGGTCTAAGTATTGGGAGAGGGGACAGACTTTTTGAATTCTGCCAGGAAAATGATATGGTGATTACGAACACTTGGTTCAAATTACCAAAAAGAAGACTCTACACCTGGAAATCACCTGCTGATAACAATCATTCACCAATTAGAAACCATATAGACTACATACTCGTTAATAAACGTCACAGAAACTGCATAACACGGGTGACAACATTTCCTGGTGCAGATATTGGTTCTGACCATGTTCCATTGGTGGCAGACATCAAACTAAAATTAAAGGCAATTAAACCAAAGTGCAGAAACCAACACTATGATATTACGAGAATAGAAATACAGTGGAACCTCGGTTAATGACCAAATCGGTTAATGAACTTTTATTTTGCAAAAATTTTGTCTCGGATAACAAACATAATGGTATTTTGTGTCAAATTTTAGTTGGTGTTATGCATGCGCGAGTTAAGCATTGCTTTTCCGAGTGTTTGTGCTATACTTCTTTTTTCAGTTTTGTAATTTATATATTTAATCAATATGGCATCAAAGAAAGAAAAAAGTCATAGTGGCAATAGAAAACGACAATGCGCTATCACATTTGAGAAAGATTTTGCTTAAAAGAGTAGGACAATCAACTTTAGATCAATTTCTTGTTCCTTACAGAAAGAGTTCGTTTCTTTGTTAAGTTATGGCAACGCAACACTTGGGTGATCTGATTAGGGGGAATGCCTTCTGAGAGGTGTTTTTAAGGGAAACTGGCCCCTATTTAGGCATTACAGATGTGGAGAAATCCCGGAAAACTCCATGTGGGCAGCCCACCTGAGTGAGGTGCAAACCCACAAACGAACTCTCCGTGTTCAAGGTACGAAGACCACTTAGCCACTGGAGGGTTTTTTTACCGAAAGAGACTTCAACTTGAAGAATCTTCCGATGAAGTGCTACCCGTTATTTTTTTGGAGGGGATTCCCCTTCTAAGCATTAAGGTTCGTATATCTCCACTTTTCTGCCACCAACTACAACAAACGAAGGTATGTACAGTGCTATTTTATTAAACAAAGTTTACATGTTTGTTGCTGTAATGATAGATACTATGTTTTCCTACATTTTCATCAAAGAAAATTACTGTATATTACAAATAAAATGACAAAAATTT